AACAGGACACACTGGAAAAGACTCATGAAGGAAAAAGAAGAAAGGGAGAGCAGAGGATGATATGGATAGACAGTATCTTGGAAATGACAAACATGAACTTGGACAGACTTTGAGAGATAGTGGGAGGGTAGAAGGGCCTGCCATGCTATGGTCCGTGGGGTCACAGAGTTGGACATGACTGAATAACAAAATCTTTTATCAATCTATCTCTTTTTATGCCTTAGTCTTTTTTTTTTTTTGGTTAGGCAATAGGGTTAAGAGACTTGCCCAGGGTCACACAGCTAGTTAAGTGTTACATGTCTCAGGCCAGATTTGAACTCAGGTCCCCTGAATCCAGGGCTGGTGCTCTATCCACTGCACCACCTAGCTGCCCCCAATGCCTTACTCTTAAAACTGTTCTTTGTCCTCACTGTGACCAACAATCCCTGTACCCTTCAGTCTTTCCCCAGGCCATTAGTCCTACTTTGGCTATACTAGGATGTGCTCATGAATCCCTCAGCACCTCTCAGCAGCAGTTAGGGGAAGACAATGCTCTTTAACATTCTTGTACCCTTGTATTTGGTATTACTGGGATGAGGAAGGAAAGGAATAGGCTCACCACTGGATATAGGCAAAGTATTGGTGGATGTCTGGGGGGAATGCTACTGATGAAGTCAACCTAGGCCGCTGAAGTTGTCAGTACTGTTGCTGTGTCGCTGGTGTCAAAGGAAGGTCAAGGAGATCAAATCAGTCAATACTTGAAGAAATTAATTTAGACTATTCACTGGAAGGTCAAATATTGAAGCTGAAGCTGAAATACTTTGGCCACAAGGTCAAGGAAGAGCCAGCCTGTTGTATCCTCGAGTTTTTCTGAAGCCAGGAACAGGAGGCAAGAGTTTGGCTACAGTAACATTCTAACTTGTATATTGTTTCGATACATTTTACCCCTGTAACAGATTATAAACTGCCGGAGGGCAGGAACTGTGCCATAAACCTCCCCCCCCTCCTCCCCCATCTTTGTCTCTACTACTAGCCACTTCATAAAAAATGCGTTGATTTGAGGATACAAGTGCTCCAGAGGATGAGTCGTACACCGTTCTAAAGAGGGAAAGGGCGGCAATAACATGAGCTCTTTGATGCTTTTCTCAGTTCCCTGGAATCCTAAGGATCTGCCTGGCCAGTTTGGTGGAGGTCACCCAAACCTAAGCCTCAGGCTCGGCCATCTGGGGGAAAGCCCAGTTTTCTTCATCCACAATGGTTTAGTTTCTTGCCTCTGGATTGCCAGTGGCTGGGATAAGTTAGTGCATTGTAGCTGTGGGCAGAGAGGGGTGGGAAGGTGGGGGGGGGGGGTGGAGAGGAAGGGAGGAAGTGCACAGCCTCTGCCAAAGGTTTCAGCTCTGCTCATCAGGTGACATTCCTTGCAGGCTCTGCCAAGCACCCTCCTCTGGAGTACATTTCCAAAGGCATCGGCCATGGGCTGCTGGTTGCACTGAATGTATGTTTAACTGGAACGGCCCCTGGCCCCTGGCCCCTGGCTTCCTGGTTCTTAAGGGGCGAAGGCCCACCCTAGTAGCTGAACTCTTGTAAACACTCAGGAGGTAGGTGCCTATTGTTGGCCCAGTGCCTGGTTTCTCCTTTCAAGGAGTCTTGCTGGCTCCTAGAGTTACTGGATGCCTGAGAACAAGGGCATTTATTTATCTAGGGCACTGTAGCTCAGACAGTAACAGGTTAATGCTGATAAGGCAGGTGACTGGGAGCCAGAAGAGGTCAAATGCAAAATCTGTTTACCAGACCAACTCTTAGCTCCAGCTTGGCACAAGGAACCAGGCTATCCAGCAAGGTATCTGGGAACCAGAGGCTTAGTCAGCTCAGCTCCACAGTGTCAGTCAGTGTCTGGGCCAGGGCTGTATTCACAGGAGTGCCTGAACCCCACCAGAGAAGAGTCTCTAACCCTAACCCTTGACAGAGGAACTGGCTGAAGATAATAAGGTCCCTTTAGACTTGCAATCTATAAACCTATGCAAGGACTCAGTGACCCGACAGACAGTGTAACCTGGGATTCCTGCCTTCTACCTAAATATGAATACCACCTTTTTCAGGTGGAATCTAACCTCCAGGGCCCCTAATAATCAGCAGTAGGGAGGCTGGGTTTCTAAATTCTAAAGTCATAGAATCCTGGGTTAGAAATAGAAAAGGGCTTTAGGAATCATCATCATGGGGGGAAAGGGAGAGAGTAAGCATTTTTATAGCACCTACTAGGTACCAGGCATTGTGCTAAGCACTTTTAAAAAATAAATATTATCTCATTTGATCCTCACATTCATCCTTCCAAGTAGATGCTATTATTATCCTCATTCATAATTGAGGAAACTGAGGCAAATAGTGGCTAAGTAACTTTCCCAGGGGTTACACAGCTAGTAAATATGTGAAGCCACATTTGAACACAGGTCTTTCTTATTCTAGACCTTGTGCTCAGTCCACTGAACAAACCACCTGCCCCTTTCATTTTACAGAGGAAAGCAAGGTCCAAGGAGAAGAGAAGAGAGAGGCTTGCCCAAGGTAACAGTGAATTACTAAAGCACCATGGTGTGGGAGGAGAGACTGCTGCATTTGGAAGCCATATTCCTGTTCAGGATTCTGAATGCAGAATCCTGTCTCTGCTACTAACTAGCTAGGTGACCTTGGGTAAATCACTTCCTGTTTGCAATGAAGAATTTATGTGGACAACAAATTAGCAGATGATATTGGTCCATGAATTGGGCAAGCATAAGTATGAGTAACTCATAATGGGCTAGTTGGGGAGAATTAGAGATTTAGGGAATATATTCTTTAACCTATAAGGCAACATCAAGGAAAATAAAAATGTCTTTATGAAATTTCCCTGAACTCCACTGGCAGATAACATCCTGAGCTACAGAAAACATACTTCTTACCCAGTATGGTATTTTAAATATTTCTTATACTTTCTAACCTTTAGACAAGTCACTTAACCTCTGATTGCCTGACAAAAGGATTCACTGGAGAAGGAAATAGAAAATTACTCCAGTATCTTTGCCAAGAAAACCCCATGGACAGCAACAATATACTTTCTAACATGATTCCCAATTCTGGTTGAGCCAGGGGCCGAAGGGTGGGGAGCAGAGAACATGTAGAAACCTGGAGACCTCCAGGTTACCTGACTGAGGGATTATGGTTGTTCTGGAAGAGAATCCTGTTTCAGAAGTGATATAGTGAAACACTGAATTAGGGAAGAAAAGGGGGAAGAAGGAGTTATCATCAGCATCTGCCCTACTTTTCTGTGGTTCAGTTCACAAGAAACTGCTGAGGGATGAGTAGGGCAGAGAAAGTCAATACCTTCAATTCAGCAAACACTGATTAAGGACTACTGAGTGCAACTCCTGAGCACTGTGGACATCAGGCATATAATGAAAAGAAACGTCTGTGTTCTCAAGAAGCTTATACTCTACTTCCCATCCTTCTCTCTAATTCCAGAGCCCCAAAGGTCCAGATCTTGAATTTAACAGTAAGTACCTACTGTGTGCCAGGCACTGTACTAAGTGCTGGGGACATAAAGACAAAAAAGCATTTTCCCTCAAGGTAATTAGATTCTAATGGGCTGACTGAACCAGTACTCAAGTAGGAAAGGAGCTATACCTGTGATTTCATTGGCATGGGGAACTCCAGAGTGATTTCCAGTTAGCCTCTGCTCTGCAATTTAGTCTCAGACAGTTGCTGCCCTTAAGCATTGAGAATGATTTACCCAGCCAGTATGTGTCAGAAGCAGGACTTAAAAATGGGGTTTCCTGGCTCTAATACCAGCTCTCTATCCACTACTCCACACTACTTCTGCTTACTCAAGAAAATAACTAAATGGGACAGCTAGATAATGCAGTGGTTAGAACACCAGCCCTGGAGTTGAAAACCTGAGTCCAAATCCAGCCTCAGACCTTTACTAGTTGTATGACCCTGGGCAAATCACTTAACCCCAATTGCATCAAAAAAAAAGAAGAAGAAGAAAAGAGAAAATAAGTAATCTCAAGAGGGAAAGATCAGGAAAGGCCTCATGTAGGTAGGTGGTAGCATCTGAGACAGACTCTAAAGAATATGAAGGATTTTTTTTTTTGAGGCAACTGGGGTTAAGTGACTTGCCTAGTGTCACACAGCTAGTAATTGTCTGAGCCTGGATTTGAATGCAAGTCCTCCTACTACAGGACCAGTGATCTAACAACTGGGCCACCTAGATGCCCCAGGTGAAGGATTCTACACCTTAACAGTAAGGAAGGCCAAAGTACGGAGCAAATCCTTCCTCTGTCTTGAACAGGGAACCAGGTCTATCCAAAGAAAAAAAGAAACTGGTACCCCTCTAAGTAGCTTAAAAACAAATGGATGTAGGTCAGCTAACCACTCATTTCTGGGTGTCCTGAAGACATTTGTTTATATCTGTCCTACCTTCCACCTCCCTCCTTTCTCCATATCTATATTCATATAACTTCCTCAGATGGTTTTGCATATATACTATTGAAAGACTTCTTTGTCAATAGACAAACACAAGTTGGCAGGGCCATTCTAACATTATGCATCTTAGCTAATTAACAATAAATACAGAGGGCACTGTAGTGGAAAGGGTTTTCAGGGTCAGGAAATCTAGATCTAAGTCCTACTGTCCCTTACTTCTCAATAGTACAACCTTCTTCCCCTCTCTGGCCTCAGTTTCCTCATTTATAAAAGGACAGGTTGGACTACATTATTTTCAAAGTCCTTTCTGGCTCTAAAGCCTATGATTAGAGTGCACAATTTATTTTTTCCCCTCTCATTTTTCAAAATAAATGTTATTGATGCTTTTTGTTTTAACATCACCTAAATTTCTCAGTATCCTTCCCTTTTCCCTTCTCAAAGAACCATCCCATACAACAGATTGTTTAAAAAAAAGTGAAGCAGAGGGGAAAAAATCAGCAAAAAACAAACAATACATCCAAAAGTTTAAAAGTATATGCAACATTCCACACCCATGAGACTCCCACCTGTGCAAAGCAGTGAGGGAATCTGTGTCTTCTCACATCTCCTTGGAGTCATGTTTGTTCTTAGTGATTATGTAAGTCATTTTCAATTGTTTTATGGTGATTCTTTCCATTTACATTGTAGTAGTCATTGGGCATGCTATTTTCTTGGCTCTGCTTACTTCACATTTCATCAGTTCAGAGGGCTTGTAAAAGCCTTCCCTGATTCTCAGCATTGGTATTCTTTGTTTCTTTAAAGCACAATAATATTCTATTACATTCCTGTAGCACAATTTGTTTAGCCATTCCTCCAAGCCATGCACATCTACTTTGTTTCCAGTTTATTGCTACCTCAAAAAAAGTGCCACAAAACTATTCTGGTGCATATTGGGATCTTTTTTTTTCTTATCAATGACCTCCATGAGGTACAAGATAGAAAGATGTCTAGGAGTAAAATCTGAGTCAAATGGTATGGACGTTTTACTCATGGTATTTGAATAATTTCAAACTGCCTTCAAAAAAAAAAGTTTACTGATTTGCAACTCCTCCAACAATGCACTACTGTGTCTATCTTCCTACAACCCCTCCAACATTGACTATTTCATCTTTTGACATCTTTGCCAGTTTACTGTATGGAGGTCAAATCTCAGCGTTGTTTTGACTGGGCAATTTACTTTTACAGCAGCTACTTGTTCATCCATTTGTATGTAGGTTTTGGACTGCTTTTGCGGGGGGGGGGTACATATATATCCCCAAGGTTGGGGCAAAGGTGGGGATCCGAGAGGCTGAAGTACACTTTGCAAAAGAAACGGTTTTTTTCCCCCTGGAGATTATAAAGAACTTCAAAACGATTCAGCTTCCACCACAACCCCTAAACTTCTTTTTCCACCTTTGCCTTAGAATTCAGTTTTGGGGCAAAGTAGGGTTTGGGGAGGCTGGGCCCCTCGTAACCCGGCTCTGGCCGCTAAGCAAACATTCCCTCTCTCCAGGAGACAGCAAAGCAGCTCTTACGTGGTGTGCAGTGAAGGAGCCAGGCTGAGGTTTATCGCTCTGGCAACCCAGGGTGATTCATTCGAGTTTTGACTCCTGGTTGTCATAGATAGGGGCAAGCAAACAAACAAGCTGCCACACTATCCCCTAACCCCACTCCTTCTCAGTCCCCTCCTCCTCCTCACCCTAGCCTAGTTCTCCTCCCACTCTGCCCCCTCCCCGCCCCGGCCCGCGACCAGCTGCTTTCTCCCCTCCCCCCCATGCCTGCGGTCAGAGTTGAGCAAACACGCCCCACCAGCCCGCTGGCTCTGAGCGCGCTTTGCTGGCGATTCCCGGGGCAACCAGAGGTCTGGAGAGCTGGCGCCCCAGAGACCTCTACCCTCCTCCCCGTTCCCCCCTTCCCCCCCGGGTCCCAACACCATTTCCCTTCTCAGCACCAGTTTGGCTCCTCTGGGTCGTCCATGCCTTATTAACAAGGTCTCCTTGCGCCGTCACTGGCTGCATGTCCTATACCTTTCCCCGGCCGGGCCCCAAAGCTCCAGTGGGGAAGGCAGCGGGAAAAATCTCCCCTTGTTTACACGTCCGAGAGGGTGGAATTGGAAGCTGGTTCCTCATTTTCGTTTCCCCTTTCCTCTAGTTTCCTATGGTTCCTGGACAGTATGTGAAAGGTCTTGTAAACACCCTCCAAAGCCCCTCACCCCCTGGAAATGCCTAGGAGGATCAGGACAAAAAAAAATTTGAGCTCAAAGGGAAAGAAGGAGAGGTTTAAGGAGTCAAAGAAAGTACTTGAAACATTAGGAAGGTCCCTTTAAATGAACTTCTGGCAAAAAAAAAAAAGAGGGGGCAAATCAAACCTAGACGAGAACGATAAATGGAGAAGACATCGGGGGAACGGAACTGCTAGTCTATTTTACAGGAAAAATAAGGGAAGGAGTTGGGGGAACTGTTCGATTTATTTCGGGCGGAGTAACCCAAGGGGAACTTGGGAGGGTAAACAGCCCAGTCGGAGGAAAAAAAAAAAGCACGATCATTACGTATGCAACACACCGAGTTTGGAGTGACCACCGCGGCTTTCTCTTGCCTTCTCTCGAAAATGGGTGTCAGAGAAGGTAGGGAGGTAGTCAAGAGGGGAGTGTTTGGGCGCGTGTGGGATTTGGAGACCAGACGAAGCGACAAAGAAAGCCTTTACGTGCGGCTGCTCAAAGAAAGCATGTGTATTTGTGTGTATACGTGTGTATATATACACGTGACAAAGGCTGTCTTCCCAAGGAAGACACTAGCGACAGTGATTGAAGGAAGATAAGGTTCTTTACTAGGTAGGGTGGGCTTCTAGTACACAAACACGTGTCCCAGGTAGAAAGTACTGAGAGTGTTTGCCCACGTGTTGGTGGGGGGAGGGGCGGGGAGAAAGGAGAACAGTAACAACCCATAAACTAGCTTTTCCAGAAACTCAAATTTCCCCCCCATCAGCCCGAAAACTAGCCTTGGGAAGAGGTGGAAATGAGTCCAGGGGGGCGGAGGGCCCTTTGGCGAGGTTTGGTTAAGGCGTAAACTGATTGCACATACCTGGGAGCATTGCGGAGTGCTCGATAAGGGCCCTGAATGGAGGTGATGTCACGCTGATGCAGAAGCCGGCCCACCCTCTAGGAAGAGAAAGAAAGGCGAGAGTGGGGCAGAGAGCAGGAGAGAAGCAGATAAGCCAGCCCCTCTCTTTCCGTCTGGGCCTAGGGTTGAGGCGGGTAACCCCTGACCCCCACGCGTCCCAGCTCAGCACCCTCCTCCCAAATCCCCAGCGCCTGCCCGCCCGGGGATCCAGCGCTGGGACCTGCGCCCACGCCCAGCCGGAGTCCCTCCTCCCTCTCCTCCCTCTCTCCAGTCCTTCCACTTGTGCCTAGCCCGGGGCCGCAGCTGGCCCCGATCTCTCCGCTGCTATCCCGGAGGTAGAGGCGTCCCAGGTAAGTATGGCTTCCTTTCAATTGGCCTTATTGGAGAGCAGAGGGGAGGGAGGGCGGGGAGCTTGGGAGTCGAGGGGGTGGTGGCAGAGTCTGGAAAGAAATCCGGGTGGGACGGCGCTGGCACCCCCTTCCCCCGAGGCTTAGTCGAGTTCTCCGGGGGATTTTCCTGGAGCGCAGGGAGTCTGTTGGAGGGGCCAGAGCGAGGGAGTTCAGGGAGAAGTGGGTATTCCTTCCTACAGTAGTTTGGGGGTGAAAAGCGCTCCCAGCAGCTCCCCTGGCTGCTTCTCCTAGGGAGCCTCTCAGTCAATATTGACTTTTGCGGGTCGGATTCCTCTAGGCAGCCCGCTACCGAAGGGCGTTGGGGAGAGGGCAGATTGCCGGAGCTAAAGGACTGCCCGAAAAATCTGGCTGCCACACAGCAGGACCTTGGGTTTCCTCAATTTGAGAACGGTAGGAGTAGACCCCAGAAGCCAGAGGGACGGGGAAGTGTCTAACTTCAAGGAAGGCTTTGGAGTGCCGACCCTTAGTAAGCCTCACTCGACCTTCCTTCTGGCCACTTGGCTTTTTGTTCTCTCGCCATCCTCCCTCGGCTTCCCACTCCCCTCAGCCCTGTGGTGCCTTTGCTTTCCAAATTCCCCTGCCAGCCACAAACCATCTCTTAGTCTTCTCCCTGACCCGAACACTTGTATGTAGGAGTCACACAAAAACAAAACAAAACACTTTTAACTTTCTCCAGGGAACTACGGGCGTAGGATGGTACCTTCTTCAAAATAGCCGGAATATCAGGAATTGTGACTGGATAGTGCAAAAAGCACGCCGGTCCCAAAAGTTTGGCACCAGTTTCTGAGAGTATTAGATGCCCATCTTTGAAGCCTGATTCGTGTCCGTTGTTGACTTGACTGCCCTTTTTTAGTTTTGCTTCTTTTTATTGGGGGTATGGGAAGAGGTATTGAGAAACAACTCCAAAGCCCACCATAAACCTCTGGAGCCCTCCAGAATGAGAAATCTGAGCACTGGGCCTAAAGGGATAGGAAGAGGTTGGAAGAAAATGGGATTCGAGTGAGAGGAAATGTAAAGCCACCATCAATATATCAATAGATTTGATAGGCTGCTTAAGTAGTGGAAGGAGGGGGAGGGGGGAAAGAATGCTTTAGATCTAGTCTTTCTAGACCCTTCCTTTTGCTTTGCTCCTGTGCCTGAGGGTGTCTGTTGTGGGGTTTTTTTTGGGGGGGGAGATGATGGTGTGGAGGCTGCCTCTGGGTGGTGTCTAGAATTTAAACTTTATGCCATTGGGATTTGGCGAGTAATAATATGCTTTATCTCATTTGATAAGGAAACGGGGCACAGAGAAATTAAGCGACTTTCTTGATACAGTGTCGAGAAAGGATTTAAACTTAGGTCTCTCCTGAGTTCAGAACCAACATTCTTTAATACTATCTACCATGCTGCCCCTCCAGGGTCTGTGTAAAGTCTAGTGTTCTTGTTAGCATCCTTCGCCTTACAGGTTCTCAGAGTTTAAGGCAATGATGAGGGGAAGGGGGAGGCATGTGTTGACCTGGCTGGGTGCTGTAAATCACAAAGATTGGTGGTAAGAGGGAATAGTGAAGGGAGTAGGTGTCATTTGCAGCCCATACACTAAAAATGTCTCAATAAAGCTGGTCAGGTCTGGTTTGAGTCTTCAGATGACTTCATCTCCTTTATTCCCCCCTCCTCCCTCAATTTCCCACCTGAAGCCATTTATTTACCTCCCCTGAGAAAGGTGAGAGCAGAGGACTAGGAGGAAGGGAGCTAGCCTGGACTGGATAGACCAGGACCAGTGTCAGGGAACTGGGTGGCTTGGCCTGGGATTAGCTTGATTTTAAAAATGATTAAAAACCTTTTGTTCAGTCAAGGGCCACAGAAGCAAAAAGTGACTTTTGTGCAGGAATCCATAGTTCAATGCTGAGCTTCAACACCATAATAGGGGGAGATATACAAAGGTACAGAAGAGATTTATTCTATTCTCCTCCCCACTGAGATCTGAATTGTCCAATCCTGACAGAATTCTGCTCTGAGCCCTAAAGGAAAAGCTCTAGGGTAAGGGTTCCTAGGTTTTTTTGGGTTTTTTTGGGGGGGTGGGGGTTTTTTTTTTGGTCTCTTAGGCCCTTTTGGTAGTCCAATGGAACCTATGAAGATATACTTTTCCCCATTCTACCTCACAGAACCCCTGCCACCCCTCCATGGATCCCAGGTTAAGAACCCCAGTTGTAGGCTCAAGCCTTGGGAGCCCCCCCTTAAAACACAAGAAACAGAGATTGTGTCAGCAATAAGAAGATAGCAAGTACCCCTTAATGCACCTTGGATAGCAGACTACAGCCTGCTTTGATGTCTTTTCCCAAACACCAACCTTTAACCTCTTGTTGAGGGAAGAATAAGTTGGCCATGACTGAATTTGAATTCCTGTTTCCTATATAACAAATAGGACTTGAAGTCAGGGGCCTGTAGCTACCAGATTTTTGCATGAGCTTCAGGGAGTCCCCTCTTCTAGGCAAGCTTAGCTAAAGCACAGCAACTCACAAAGCCTTCATTCTTTGTCCTTGTGAAAATAGTCAACTCGCCCTGGCCCTTCAACCTCCCTACCAAGCTGATATTTCAATGTTACAAGTCAGTTGTTTGATCTGAGGCTTATTTAGGGCAGGGTTGATATGGTGAGCCCATTGGTGTTCTCTTAATGGCGCCATCCTTCATGCTTTCCTGGACACTCCCATAGTGATGGAGGTAACAGAGAGTTGATTGGGTGGGCTACTAGACTTCCAGTTGAGAGGCAGGGTCAAGGACGGGAGAATTGCCTGACAACAGGCAGTAAGAAAATGGATGACTTAGACTGAGGCTTCCTTAACCTGATGGTTCTTATAGGGAATTCAGAGACAAAGAAAATCTGATCAGGTATTTTCCTGGGGATGTCACCAAAGCAAAGAGGATAGAATGGATTATCTTTTTTATATAGTTCATCAATGTGGACAAAAAAAAATGAGGAGACCTGATGTCTACCAAGTATGCAAAGGAAGCTGGGAATAGGAGAGAGCCTGTAAACGTGCTTGGAGGGTCAGAGGGTTGGGAGGGGCAGCATTTTCTGACCTCTGCGTCACTTTTCCCAGTTCTATACTGGTACCCAGTTCCCTGTTGCTTATAAAAGCCTCTGTTAGCGATGGCTATGAAGAAACCCTAGAGAAAGTTACTTAAATGGAAATCATTGCTACTAGTGTGGGTTTTGCCTTCATGACTGTATATCAGAGCTCATTCTCACCTTTTCATCCTGTGCAGTTAATTTTTGTCTGTGTTCTTCCACAAATCCTCTATCTCATAACATAGGGACTCTTTGGATTGTTGGTACTGTATTGGTTAATGGTGACTCCTTTACACGTTAGCCACATCCAGATAACTTGTTTTTTACTCAATTCCAATTTGGACTATGTTGATTTATGATTTATAGTGAGTCCTCACCTTAAAATGGGGTAGCTAGGTGGTGCAGTGGACAGAGTGCCTGGCCTGGAGTCAGGAAGACTCATCTTCCTAAATTCAACTATGGCCTCAGGTGCTTATTAGATGTGTAACCTGGGCAAGTCACTTAATCCCTGTTTGCCTCAGTTTCCTTATCTGTCAAATGAGCTAGAGAAGGAAATGGCAAGCCACCCCAGTTTCTTTGTCAAGAAAACCCCAAATGGGGTCACAGAGAGTTGGACAGGACTGAAAAACACCTGAACCACAACAAAACACCTTTGTTTGAAACTATATTTTCACATAATGTGGTTGAGTGGACTGAGCACTGGACTGTGCATCGGAGACTTGGGTTTGAGCCTGGGTTTTGACACTTGGCTAGCTCTGAGATTTCATTTCCTTACTTGTGAAATGGGAATATAGTACCTCAATTACAGGATTGTTGTGAGGAAAGCATTTTGTAAATCCTTAAGCACTGGATAAATGCCAGTTGTTATCATCATCATTATTGCATACTGGTGGTGTGCCTGTGATTTTCCTACTGTTAAAAGTACCTGGTTGTCTCTGTTAGAAAGTAAGCTCCCTGAGGGCAGGGACTGTTTTTCCCTTTGTGTAACCAGCCCTTAGCATTTCCCACAATGCCTGGCATATGAGAAGTGCTTAATAAGTGCTTCTTGACTGATCTGACTCCATAGCTACCTATATGAAGGTCACCATTGTTATTTAGGGGCAGCTAGGTGGCTCAGTGGATAAAGTATAGGGCCTGGAGTCAGAAAGGAAGACTTCTCTTCCTGAGTTCAAATCTGGCCTCAGACACTCTGCGTGACCCTGAGCAAGTCACTAAGCCCTGTTTGCTGATCTGTTTTTTAAAATGGACTGGCCAGGGAAATGGTAAACCACTCTAGTATCTTTGCAAAGAAAACCTCAGATGGAGTTGTAAAGAGTCAGACGTGACTGAAACAACTGAACAGCAGCATTGATCTTTAACTTTATGATAATCTTAAAGTTTCCTGAGGCTCAATGTTGAATGCCTTGCCTGTGGTCATACAGCTTGTGATTGTCAGAGGCACAAATTGAAACCAGGTCTTTTTGACACAAAGCACAAATTCCTAGCTGACACATCATACTGCCTCCATTCATTCTGTAATGTAGCTAAATGGTGAGTTTGGTTGGGGGGGGGGTGTCTACCTCATACACATGAGGACTTCCACCAGTGGGATG